ACTGGCTGTGGTTGCACCTGTGGTTCTATATGTGGTTCTGCCTCTGGTTCTGGCTGTAGCAGGTATTTCTACATTGTACATACCAAAAACCTTGCATTGCTTTTACAAACAGAAAAAAAGATGCATTTGTGAAAAGATTTAACATTAGCATTTTCCCTAACGCGCTTTGTTCCTTGTTACCGTGTCTTAGAAAGGAATTCGTACCAAGAAAATGGTACGAGGTTCCTCCTAGCTAACATGTTAAATTTGGATAAATGTACGTTTTCAGAGATACTTAATTTTTAGCTGGTGTTTTCACCCCTTCAGTGATTTTTTTCTCCTTAGGAAACAGACTGTAAATTCCAATTAGTGTCTGGGGTGTTCCTTTCCACCTGATGTTTAAGATCTTTATTTTTATTTTTTAAATTTACTTATGTATGTATTTTTAGAGATGGGTCTTGCTCCGTCATCCAGGCTGGGGTGCAGGGGCTGTATCATAGCCTGTTGCAGCCTTGAACAATTCTCCTGCCTTGGCCTCCAGTCACTGTCTCAGAAACGAGCTCATGTGTAGTGAGGATTAAGACTTAGACTTTCTTACTCCCTTAGAGCACACAGATGATAAGAGAAAAGCAACCTGGGAGTGTGAGTCTGTGCATGTTTATCCCTAGAGTCTGAGAAAGCAGCTGACACATCCAGTTTCTCAGAAGAAACATTTACTAGGGGCTTAGAGATAGAAGCCACGTTCTGGGCTGCTGATCTGCTGATTATCCCCGGTTTTGGGAAAGGCTCTAGATTTCTACTTCACCTACTATAGTAAGTCTTGCCTGCATGAAGGTCAAAGCAACCTTGAGCAAACATCCTGCCCTGGGACAGTCACTCAGCACTCTCACCCTGCCCTGAGGGGTCCAGCTCAAATGTCCTCACAGTCCTTCCCTGAAATTAAAGACTAATTTTTATTTTATTTATTATTATTAATTTTTATTTTTTTTTGCAGTTTTTGGCTGGGGTGAGGTTTAAACCTGCTACCTCCAGTATATGGGGCCAGCACCCTACTCCTTGAGCCACAGGCGCTGCCCTAAGACTAATTTTTAAAAAGGAAAACTGGCACTGAGTATTGATAATGATTTCCTTAATTACATGTTTCTAAGTTTTGGGCAGGATGGTGCTTTTTTAGCTGGTCAGGCTCCTTGCCCCCAACTTATTTAGGAGTCATCAATATTTAGGTCTATCAAAGCACTTCAGAAACTTAAAATACAATTCCAAGATGTTATGATAATCATGTTATTAATACTGGAATTATAATTAAGTCTTTTAGTTCTGAAAAAAATGTAAATCTATTGTATACGCTACCTACTGGTAGGACGCCACCTCAGCAAATGGGACCACTATGGAGTGAGTATGAAGACAATTACACGAGATTCACTTTACTATTTGCTTACAATTGAACTCCGCTTGGCTAAGATATTATTGAATGACAAGAGTAATGGATATAAAATCAAACTAATAATATTAGGACAGCAAAATATCTAGGACAATAGATCGGCTACATCCTGTTGTTAGAAAGAGAATTAATCTCAGGTTTAAGAGTTTTAAATCCTTCTGGCTGCTTTGCCTGTGATTTGATTTGCACCTCTGGTTTATTTTATCAGAGTGGTCTAAAGAATTTAACATAACTCTTAATACTGTTTTTCAAAATAAGGTCTTAGTTTTTTATATTCCCAGGATATTTGTAAAAAACACTGCTCTTGAAAAACCTGCATGCCTGCTGCACATGGGCTCAGACCCTCTGGGAGCAGAAACGGGGCACGTGCATCTTTTTTTTTTTTTTTTTGAGACAGAGTCTTGCTATGTCACCCTCAGTAGAGTGCCCTGGCGTCATAACTTACAACAACTACAAACTCTTGGGTTCAAGTGATTCTCTTGCCTCAGCCTCCCAGTAGCTAGGGCTACAGGTGCCTGCCACACACCCAGCTATTTTTTGGTTGTAATTGTCACGGTGGTTTGGCAGGTCTGGGCTGGATTCAAACCCACCAGCTTCTGTGTATGTGGCTGCGTCCTAACCGCTGAGCCACAGGCACTGAGCCAGTGCGTGTGTATCTTGAACAAGTACCCTGGATAATTCTTATGCTCAAGAATGTTGGAGAAAAATCATATAAATTGTAGTCAGCCTTACAAAACCATAATTTAAATGTTACCATCTGCCCCATAGAATAGTTTTGCCAGTTTCAGTAGACGTCAAGGAGGAAAAAAAAAAAAAAATATATATATATATATGTATATATACATGTATTTATATTTATATACTTAGAAAAGAGACATAGGTGAAAAGAAAAGCATAAGAGAATAAAATGTGTAAATACACTCACCTATTTCAGGTGTTTTGTGAAAAAAGGGCAAACTCCAGGGCTGCCAGAACCTCCTGCCTGCTTCTCGACATCGCACTTGAAATGCGTACTTAGTGTTCGGCTCCAGGTAGAATTCTGACTGTTGCACATATGTAAGATTGGTGTCAAATTTTTTAACCTAAAGTGGATGAATGACAATAAAACAGTGTGGTTTAAAACAATTATCCCATTTAGTGGAGATGTAGGGCACACCCTTACGCCCTGGGGCCTCTTCCAGATCCTGGGAAACAAACAGGAAGGGACCACTTCATAGAACCCACCCTGGGAAACACACAGGAAGGGACCACTTCGTAGAACCCACCCTGGGAAACACAC